CTTAGTATAGTTTTCATCTTGAAAAAGTAAAAAACAATAGCAATAAATTAGCTCAAAGTTTGCTAGCTTTTCACGTTAGTTTAGTAGGATCCGATAGATAGCGTCGACATAAAATCAAAGCTGCCTGCAAGAGAATCAAATAAGTGTGGTTATAATAGGTAGGTGCGTCTCAAAAGTTACAGCATTTGTCTATCGGCTGTTCATCGAGCTGTATCGAGAATGCAGATGAAATTCGAGCACCTGAGACTCCCGGATACCGACGAAAGTCTTCTCCAATGGGCGAGTGATCTAGGTCTACTTCCATCCTTAACCTCCAGTATTGACGAATGCCTCCACTAAAAATTTATTCTCACCGATAACGTCTCCGGCAGAATACCAGGAGACGTGTCTAGCCAGAGCATAACCTGCTCCAACACTTCAGAGCTATGTGGCTGTTTCACCATCTAGCCTGGTGCAGTCAGAGAATTTTTAGCTACAAATGTAAGCCCGGGAAGACAGCCCTGAGGGGCACGGGTAGCTACAACGGCTACCTCATAAGTGGTCCTCCCAACATCATACACACAGAGAAGGTATTCTCTAGGCCCACTTCCCCGACTAACGATGAGCGGTTGGTTATGCGGGGAACGACCTAAAGACGAGATATTCTTTGGTCAGTGGCGTATCTCCCTTATGTACGCTCTCCGTACACGGAGACTCCGAGGGTAAGAGTCAAGCTATCCGCAGCTGACTCTCAATCATCGTGAATAATACTAAGGAATAACTGGAAGTTTTACCACTGGCCCTTTTCAGGACCATTATAACTAATTACGTTCCCTACTTAACCATTAATCTCATCGGTTCTTTTAAGGGACACTTAAGTTTAAACTACCTCACCAACAAAAACATTTTCACTACCATTTTCAGAAGTGATTCGTCAACTAAAAGAATATGTTAACGAAAGATGGCCACTATTACACCAAGTCAGTCATTCACTGGCAGTCGTCACGAGCGGAGTTGTTTGTCACAAGGCTTTTTTAAATTACCGAAACAACTGAGTCTGCTAAAAAAAGGCGCTTGAGACACCAACGTCTTCGACGTTATACCAGGAGACGTTGGGAAAGATCTCTAAAACTAACTCCAAAGCTTTGGACTTTGTAATTTTTTTCCTGATCAGTCTAGGGTTTCAACAGCAGGCCAGAAAAGATCATCCTGAGGTATCCAGGCAGTCACAATTCCTGTAAACTTCAGTCAAGAAAGAGTTTACTTAGGAAGCTGACCAGTCTTTTTTAGGGCCATCGGAAATTGAACTACCTTGCCAACAAATATATCAGAACTTACCAAAGGTTACAGAAAATAGCCTTTATGGGTCACAAAGTCTTAACCATGCCAAAAGTCAAGAGAGGGTGAATTGAAAGGAAAACCTTCAAATGTCTCTAGTGAATACAATTTTAGGCGTCAAGAAACTGACGCAGAAAATTTATCGGGAGTAGAACAACAGCGTCAAAATCGTCAATTATAGAATTTATTACGTGAGAGTTCAGCTTTTTATTATAACCTTTACAAAATTTCTTAAGCCTTATAGACTTTTAAATAAATAGAAAATGTATTTGTTTTTTTTTGGTGATAAAAAAATAATGTAAAGATTCAGCTCCGGGACTTTGTTGCTCTGGTAATAAAGTTGTTTGATAAGAGAAAAAAATTTTTTTTTTAATTTAAATTTTTTGAAAGTTTTAAATCTCAACAACTTTGAAAAATAGCCCTTTTCGTAAATTGTACAGAAGAAACTACAAATGAACGGCCCCTTATGGCCAACGATTATTTTATGGCATAATTATTTTTTTTTTAATTTTTACAGCTTATTATTTGACCAGATAAACTGTATGGATTCTGAAAAAATGTTTTTTTAATAAGAAGATTTTTGTTCTGAAAAGTGTCAAGAGTAAATGTAAAATTTCTAACTGAAAACCTTCCACATGACATGTCAACACACTACGGTGTCCCATTTAAAAAGTCTCGGGTGAAGCCGAGACTGGGGGCCGCTAGTTTTTTAATAAAGTAATACTTGGTTTGTGAAAATTATGGTAATGTTGTAATTGGTTATTAATATTATCCAACTTTTTTTACTAGAAAAACTTTCTTAACTAATAGTTTTTGTAAGCACACTCGATGAGTGGTGGAAAACTTCTGACTCAAACGCCCTACGAAGAAATGCACTTTGCGTGAAGTTTTGAGTCCAAAATTCTTTGCCTTACATACTATAGAGTTAGCATTTCCTGACTTCACGTGCTCAAGCTTAGCAGCTTGCTTTGGTTGTTTCTTGACACTTCCGAGAGCTACGAACTACACAGTCGATTTCTTTAGAGGAAGGCTTTCCTTATAAGAGTCTTGGAATTTTGGCATTGAGAAAAAGAAAAATAAATTTATTTCTACAGTTCCTTACTTAATAATTCTCGCCTCAAAATAATAATTTGGCTTGGATTTCTTTTTGTCACTTGTATATCTTTGCAATCGTGCTCTTCTAGTATTTATATAATTATTATAATGCCACTAATTATATGTTTATTTTTTAAAAAATAGTTATTATGTAGAAGTTATGATGTTACCAAGTAAAAAATAAAAAAAAATTTTTCTTTAATAAACAAGGAATGCACAGTACTTCAAAAACATTTTCAAATTACGAATTCCAATAATCTTTGCAAGATTATTTCTTAGTCATTTCTTGAAAAAAATTGAAAATAACTTAATATTGTGATAGGTTAGTTTTAAATGTTGTTACAACTTTATAGAACTGATTTTCTATAAACTCTGTTAAATCAATCACTTGATATGTTTAATAACTAATAAAGAAAATTATAAAAAAGGTTTTTTTCGCATTAAAAAATCCTTAAAATTAACCGTTCAAAATAGTATTCTAGTGGTAGAATAGAAATATTATTAGTCATAGGAATTGATAAAATTTATTTCTCATAAGTTCCAGTAATTAGTTACGTCATTCTTAATCATCATTTAGATAAGTTCCAGTGTTATCCATAAATACTTTATAAAAATATTACTATTTTAATCTTATGTACCAGATAGATTATTAATCTTTTTTAATAACAAATTATTCTTAAAGTATTTTTATTAAGTATTAAGATTAGTACAGTTTACTTAGATGGATATTTTTTGTCCTTTTTTTAATGATTTTTAGCCGTACCAAATACTTTCAAATTAGATGCGTGCATGTGTAGAGATGGATGTTAATTAATGGAATTTTATTATGAAAACTACGGGTTTTACTTAGTATAGCACTATCTTTCTATTTTGATCAATTTTTAACTGTTCTAAACAAACTGTAATAAAACATAAAAAATTTATAAATAAACTTATAAAAACCTACATTTTAACCGCATTCGTTATCTCTGACTACTGAATTTTTGAAATAGTTTTTATCAGTACATATAATAATGGAAAATTTTCACTTTTAAACGAGAAGAACAAAATAAATAAATTGTTTACACTTTTTGTCGCAGTAAGTTGATTGAATCACATTCTTTATTCTTCTAGTAAATGTGCCTGTTTTACCCACAATCAACGACACATTATTATTTCGACTATTTATACAATAATTTGATCATATCATAACGTAATCTGAAACGAGAATATTTAAGTGCCACGTAGTATGTTAGTGTAGAAATATGAGCTTAAAATATGAGTAACATAAAAAAAATAATTATTTACATAATTATTCCTGCTCATTCTGCTAGCAAAAAATTTACCCTCTCTGATGAACTTGTGCCTAAAATCATCTGCAATATAAATACAAATCCATTGAATCTGCTAATAATAACTCATAAATAATTTGATTGCTCATTAAAAATTAAGTATACTATTTTAGCAAGGTTCATTATATTCATTTTAACTTGCTCACTACTATTAACAATAAACATTGCACTGGACATTTTTTTCGACACGCCGTGCGCGGGGACTCAATTGCGAGCCATTTGTTGTGACTCTAAAGATCCCGATTTACAAACGTGACTCACAGCTCGTCCTGCGCACTCGTGTGAGTGCATGTGTTTCTTGAGGTCTTTGCATAGCCACATTAGATGGCGCTAAATCTTGTTCTTTACCCACGTTGTGTCGAAAAGTTGTATACACCACACATGCAAGAGGTTATGTGACTGGCACTCGTGTGTCAATCGCATTCTCCGCGCAATAGTATCGTAATGTACTATTTTTAAGGTTTAGTATTTTCCGACCTTTTCATTTTAATTGATGTGTAAAAGTAATTTTTTTGCAATAAAATGTGCAAGAACGTCGCAGTAAACCATTAGTTTTCAGAAAATTTTTGATAGCCTATGATACATGTTTGGCTGCAGAAAAAGTTGATTTGATTTATTTCAGTTAAGGTTACTAATACTTTTTAGTTTATAATGCTTATCATCAAATAAGCTTTCGTCAACAGACAATGATGTTTTTCAATAAAAATAGCTACCTATTCTTTACTGCTACACTGTTATCTATAAAATGTATCAAGGTTTCTGAGGATACGATCTTACATGTACAAAAGTTAAGCTCTAAAATACTTGAGTTTACTTTATTTTCAAACGTCACTAACAAAATTCATTCCAGCATTTAGTATTTTCGTCATAACTGCAGAAACTTACTATCATTTCAACAATTTTAATATCTTTTGTTATAGATGGCAACAAAAAATTTTTTGGCTTCTTAAAGTTTTGCTCATTTTCATTCCCAAAAACTTTTTTGTTAAAATTCACGTGTTGTTTATTTGCACCAACCTCATAGCTAATGACATTACAATTTATTGCTCATTGTGTACTGCCTCACATTTTAGGTGCTTTTGCTAATGAAGTGAATTTCTGTTCAGTTTCTTTGTGATTCTATTTTATTGTTAAAATGAATTACAGCCAAATATAAAACCTGTTTAAGTATATTGTTGTATTTAACGAAAATTCAAGATGGAGATTAACTTGCTCTTCACTTTTTATGTTTTAATAACTATTGTTTCTTTTAATTAGATTTTCATCAAAAGTATGTACATTGACCGCATACTTGATGCTTGGAAAACTGAGAGTATTTGTATTCTGTAAGTATAAAATTTTTAAATAGCAATAGTTCAGTTTATTCATTCTTCTCTCTTTAATTTACAGAAATAATCAAAATAAAGTCAGACCAGGATACATGGGACATCTTGTAGTAATGGCCAATGAAATTGTAAAGCAGTGTGAAGAATGTAATGTTTTATCCGATTATTTAAAAAAAAATTTACCTGAAGAAAATATGCAAAAATGGGAGTTGTTTGTATCATCTCAATTAGATGAAATCAATAAGAAGCAGCAAATCGTATTGGTGAGTTAATTTTCTTATACTTTCCCTCGTTTTTATTGAATTGAACAGGCACGATTGTAATGTGTATTTGAAGCGAGTATCATGGATTTTAGTATTTACTTGTTATTATTTCAAAAAATAATTCAATTTTATTAAAAAAGAAAGCCTTACTGTGCAAAGAAATTTTCATTCTGAGTTTTAAATAAAATATATTGGCCATTAGATGACACGTTAGACTGCTTCAATCGAGGTGCTTATACAAACTTATAAACCAATTTTTTTTTCTTTTGATAGGTAAGATCTTAGACTGTAAGTTCACACTAAACATGCAAATGAGAATCTAGTACAGTTACCAGTACTTTTTGTCTTTATAATTCACCAAAAATTTTGAAGCTGTAAGATTCGTTCTCTTGGATTTTTTCACTGCCCAGTGCTGATGTAACTATTCTTTTTCTCTAGAATTTATAAGGTTTGTTAACTGCTAATAACTTGTCATCTATTAATGAACTGAGTTGCATCAGGCACCAATGTTGTTTTAAGTCTAAAAAATTAAGAAACCATTTAGTTCAATATGCTTATTTTTACTTACATAATTTCTTCTTCAAATTTACTGGTTATGTTAGACGCGCTACATTTGCTTTAGTTACTTTAATAGATTCGATTTACATTAACCAATATTTTTTTATTTCATTACTCAATTTTAATATAATACCGTACAAAATAACTTTCCGGCACATCTATTATATAAAAAGTAAAAAAAAATTATATTCTTGCTATCTATAACTCGAATCCTTTCTTTAAACTAATAATTGTAGCAATAATTTTTAAATTTTAAATACCAGATCAAACACTTCAAGATCTTAGCTTTGTAAAGCAATATATAAGCTTTTAAAATGGCTATTAAGTTTAAGAGCACTATTAAATCAAATTGTATCCAACTCCAAATAATTGTAACAAAGAAGACTAATTTTATATTGCATATAGAAAACGTTTTACTGGCTTAATAGAAATTGAAACTACTATATTGTAACTGTCCAATCATTTTGGTCATTTATTGAGCTGTGTAACACTTTCCGTTAAGTAAAGATTTATTTTTTTATTTTCTATTTTGAAACTAAGGGTTAATGAGATCATTTTCTCATTGAGATTTGATTCTAATCTTAATGAATTAGACTCAGCAGCATCGAACTGCAGGCGTTTTAGACCAAAAGTTGGGGTACAGATAAGGTAAAAAATTAATACCTGCCACCAATCTTATGAACATCAACAAAATCTCTTGATTCGTGGAGATCCAAAGGGTTTTTGTGATTTAGTCTTGCTATGACGGGTGAGGTCGGAATGCAAAAATTGCCAACTGCAAAAAATTTATACATGCCATGACTGGGCCCAATCGACAGAGAATAAAAAGTTTTTGTTTACGGTTTTGGTTGCACTTGAAAAATTCTTTTGAAAATAAAATTATTTATTTTCTTTGTTAAATCTAAAAATTGCCGCCACCTTGGCTTATAATATAGATTATTGTAAAAAAATGATCAACAAAGTTGTGGCAGATATTGTTTTTGAAGAGGAAACGGTCTATTTTTCAGAAATTAACTGTAGAAGATAAATCCCAATAGTGCTAAAAATAAAATTTAATTTTGTGTCTATTGGTCTAGGTTGTAACTGATATCTAGTATTATCAAAATGACACTTCTTAAAAACCAAAAAAACTCTTAACAAAATAAAATATGACGAAAAAATTTTAGATACCCACTCATTATGAGGTTTCTTAATTCCTGTGAGAGTTGCTGATAATATTAATTTTTGACCACCTCTGGGCCTCTCCTCTTAGTCTAAGATGATCCAGGGTTCTGGTAGCAGCTACAATAGATTGAAAACAAAAGTTCATACAAAGTTGTTAACTAAAAAACTTTGAGTATCAGATTGAATATTCTGAAATCATTTTAACACAACTAAAGTGCAGTATTTTTCTTAACTTCTAGGCACTTTAAGTCAATTGCATTTAAGTTTCTAGTTTATGTACATTTTTGTTGATTTTAATATTCGATTCATCTAACTCTCAGCTGTATATATATACATTTGTCATTAAATCATCACATTAACTATTTCTATGATAACTATAATCATGTTAATATTAAATAACAAAAGCAAAACAACTGTAGCAGACACAAAACGATTTCTTTGCTTGTCTTTAGTGTATACATAGAAAGAGCTCAGTAAATATACCTATCGCCAACATCATACGGTGATGGCAGCACAGCTTCTTTTTAAGAACATGCCTATCTATTAACTATCAGATTTGTAGCTAAGTTAACAATAAGACAATTTTGCGGACACTTAGATTGAAAAAATCTTGGTTTAAGCATTTTGAGACACACATGTCTTATTTTTGTCATTCTAATGACTTTCTGGCCTACATTTGTCAGTAAAGCTGTCGAAAAGGATTGAAGAGGCCGAATAAAACCAAAATACTTGTGGCACACTGATAAAAATAACTATTTTTTGCTACTTGGAAATTTTAGTATGCTAATAGCAAGTAAATAGCGTGGTCGTTGATGCTTCGTCCGTTTCCTCAAACTTACCTTGTAGCGCTCCCGTACGACGTGATTTAACTGTATAATTGTTTTTTATAATTAGTTCTACTGTTAAATTTACTTCACAGACTTTTAAGCACTACTATGGTTCTTTATACAGTCATAATTTCTTATAGCAAACTGCTTACATTGTTTATGACGTAGAAATTTTAACTGAGACTCCAGCACTGTATGTAGGCTTATTTCAAGGCTGAAAAAGCTGGTTTTCGAATGAATTAAACGTATACTGTGTTGCATACTAGTTTATTAATATTTTATTATAAAAAAAAATGCACAAGATTATTCATAACTTTTTTTTGTAAAAGTCATTAATGATGATTGTGAAGAATAATAAACAGTTTATTATTTTAGAAAATCTACTTTTTTCTGCGTGAAAAGTGTAAAAATATCCGGATATTGAACTAAAATTCATCGTTTGACTTTTTTTCAATGGATACTCGCTCCGTGCACAAACGGCAAAAATTAGAACTCCGATACCCAAATCCCATTTAAAACACATATAATCACCGACACTAGTGCCAAATCCATCACTTTGGTGCTAGTATCGGTGAATACATGTATTTTAAATGGAATTTAGGTATCGAAGTTCCAATTTTTACCTTTATGCACGGAGCGAATAAAATTTATTTGCATACAACTATTATGACAGTTGTAAAAAGTTTGATGTAAAAAATTTGGGTTTTGATTTAAAATATAAAATATAATGTATCCAAAAGTACGCAACTACGCTCTAAATACCTTTTACAACATAAGTTTCTTACAGATTCAAATTCTAGTAAGTTGCTTTTATAAAAGACTTATTTATCTAGTTGCCTTTGCCTGCTAAACTCTACTTCATAGCATTTACTCTTATTGACAGTGTATAATTTTGTATGTTGGAACCATGACCACTTGATATTGTTCCAGTTATATTTTTATACAAATACATGAATATTATTTTCTTACATCTCATTATTTCTAGTAATATTAAGTTTTTTTCATGTAAATGTGCACGTAGCCACCTCAAACCAGTGTTTGCTATAAACAAGTATAAAACTTTTTAATCATCTTTAGGTACTTTTTGTGAATGTTTTGCAAATTCATGAGACAATAATTGATTTTAAGTAACCTAACAAATGCTTTGTGCGAGTACCACGTGCACCGACTTTTTTGACTATGACAACTAATACGACTCATGTTTTAATTTTAAATTATCATACAGTTAGTAAAGTATATAAATACAGACTAGATAGAAATATTTTTTTTTTGGATAGGTCGATCGATGGTTTCGTAAATTTAGTGACCCTGTAATAAGTAACTGGACATTATGGTACAGTTTACACAGTTTTTGCGGCCCTTTGTACTAAAAAAGTTTTCCAAATTTAACTATGTCACAAAAAATATTTTCATCATGTCTTCAAGGATATATTAAATAATATCACAAAAGACGTTGCTTACTGTGGTGGAGGGAATAACTACAAGTGTGTTCGTTTTGATCGAAATTATCAGCCAATCACAGCGTTGAAACAAGCAACTATCCGTATTCAATTTTTAATTCATTATTATTAAGCCCTATTATGAGGAGTAACACGAATAAAAATAATTCAAACCTGATAAACAGGAATTTTAATATTGCATTCATATATTGAAAATCACTTATCACAATTTTGATAGTCGTCATAGTTTGTTCAAGTTTAGTTATAAGTTAGCAAATCTTTTTTGTTATTTATGTAAGTTTATTTATATTATTTCAATGCTCTTGTGATTAAGGTGATTCATAAATAATGAGTGAATATCCTTAACTTGACCCCACAACATGTGGAAACCATAACCGTGGTTTTACTTCATCGGGCTATTTTTCAGCAATGGGCTGATCTCGATTCTTCCGCTGTTCTTGGAAAATCCTACTAAGTCAAAATTCTTATTGAAATGGATACGTACGCTCATTTCCTCAGGCCGAGATACATTGAACATGACGAAAACATTTAATAACGCACTGGAGTTGGCTAGATTCTGTCACAGCCTGAATACCAGTTACTTACATACAATTTAATCGAACTTTTTTGTCTCTAGGCAATGGACTATAAATCGGATTATGCAGAGCTCTAATCTAAGTATTTCATTGACATACTAGCAATTGCTCACTGTCGCTTACACTTCGATTATAAGTGTTGCTGTGAAAGGTAAAAGGAAGTAGTTGTGTAAAGATGAAGTACTCTGCTGGCCTGAAACTGTGTCTGTTATTATGCACAATCGGTACGCATATAAAGTTGTCTCTGGAGCGAATGATATGGCTATTGCACATTGTCTTTACGATCTCGTCGTGCTGCAAAAAGTAGGTGATTTTCGTTAAAGAAGTGGGTAGCGAAGGTTCTCGAGCTTCTGACTAACCTACATTGCCTACAAGTATAGAAATAGTTACCCCAATTTGGCACAAATCAAGCGGTT